AATACTATGAACAACTCTATTCCAACTAGACAACCTAGAGGAAATGGACATATTCCTAGAAAAATACAACCTTCCAAAACTCAATCAGGAAGAATCTAAAAATCTCAATAGGCCGATAACAATGGAGGAAACTGAAGCAGTCATCAAAAAGCTTCCAGCAAACAAAAGCTCGGGGCTAGACAGCTTCAGAGGGGAGTTGTACCAAACATTCAAAGAAGAACTAAAACGTATCTTCCTAAGACTTCCAAAAAATTCAAGAGGAAGGCACACTTCCAAGTTCATTCTATGAAGCCAGCATTACCCTAATACCAAAACCAGATAAAGACAACAACACAATGAAAGAGAATTACAGACCAATATCCCTCATGAACATAGATGCCAAAATCCTCAACAAAATTCTAGCAAATCGGATCCAGCATTACATCAGAAAGATCAGACACCATGACCAAGTAGAATTTATGCTGGGATGCAAGGATGGTATAATATCTGCAAACCAATAAACATGATACATCACATAAACAAATTGAGAGATAAAAATCACATAATCATATCAATTGATGCAGAAAAAGCATTTGACAAAATCCAACACCCTTTTTTGATAAAAACCCTCAGCAAAGTGGGAATAGAGGGATCACACCTCAACATAATAAAAGCCTTATATGACAAACTTACAGCCAAAATCATATTCAATGGGCAAAAACTAAAACCATTTCACCTACAAACAGGAACAAGATAGGGATGCCCACTTTCACCACTCCTGTTTGACATAGTCCTGGAAGTGCTAGACATGGAATAAAAGGTATCCAAATTGGAAAAGAAGAGGTAAAATTGTCATTATTCACAGATGACATGATACTGTACATAGAAAACCCTAAAGACTCCATCAAAAAATTATTAGACTTACTAAATGAATTCAGCAAAGTAGCAGGATACAAAATTAACACCAAGAGATCTATGGCATTTTTATACACCAACTAGTGACCCAGTGCATGGATTCATGCACACTGAAAGGAAATTAATTAGGTGGCCGGCAGGGTTGGATTGGGTGAGACAGGCCAGACACGCCCTGGAGCCAACCTCCCGCCATCCCTCCCCGGTGTCTGCAGAGTGAGCTGGGTCCCTCCGGCAGGTTGGGTCCCTCGGCTTGGCCTGCGGGGATCGGGCCGAAACCGGCTCTCCAACATACCAGAGGGGTCCTGAAGTGTGAGAGGGCACTCTGGAAAGTCACTGTCGTACAGAGTGTGGAACGCAAATCCAAGTGTACAGTAAACCAGATTAGGGGCCAACAGTGCCCCAACAACAACATAACCCATGGCCGAAGGTGGAATTGTGCAGCCCCGCGAGGAATTGGGCTCCCTCCTCTCTGATTTTGGGGTGCATCACCCAAGAACCGCTACTGCCAAGTCACTGCAGCCTGGCAGCTCCTGCATTGAGCATCTGCCCCCTGGTGGTCAGTGCACGTCACAGCGACCAGTTGGTGGAGGGAGGGACACTTAGCATATTAGACTTTTATATATACAGATATATGCCTGAGTTTTATCCCAGAATGCATGGATAGGAATCTCTAGGATTGTGGCCCTAACAAAATATTTTAGTAAGATGCTCAGGTGATTCTCATACCTACCCAATTCTGGGACCCACTGCCCTAGATTATGGAATCTGAAGCTATCAAAAAAGTCAAAGTCCAACTTAAGAGTCTTCCAAATTAATTTCACTTTTACACCATCAAAAAGGTATAATAGCTAAGCTTGAAAGTCAACAGCAATAGTGTGTCTCCAGATTATCTACATATGAATATATTAATAAGTTTACACTGAGGTTAATCTCTGGTAGCAATTCAGGCCCAACAAATTCAATTTTCTCTATTTTTAAAAGCATAAGCATTTAGGACATTATCTAACATCTGCTTTTAGCAGAGTGACAAAATGAGATGACTGGGAATATCCCAAAAGACAAACTTGTTATTCATAAAGAAGTGCAACATTTACTCATGGGGGGAAAAAATGAAAAGAAACTATTCTGAGAAGAAAAGAAGCTAAGAATGTCTACCATGAATTCAAGCATCTGGCAATTATTTTGACAGCATGCAGAAGAGAAAACCTAAACATTTGCATTTACCAGAGACAAAAAAAAGAGCATATTTGTTTGTTTTGTGATTCACACTATTTGCACTCTGAAATCATACAGAAATCATGCACTCTGGAAATAAATAATCTAGTGAGAGGGTTTGGGATCATATCTTTCAATTAGAATTTGTTGTGGCTCTGCACTGAGAACTTTGTTTCATGTTTCTTACAGGTTATTTCAACCAACCTTCATAACAACTCTGTGAATTAAGTATCATCTCCATTCTACCCATGAGGAAAATGGAGACTCAGTGGTGTTAAATTACCCCCAAAACACACTGCTAAAAAGTAGCAAAGGGCCACACTTGGCATCCATATAACTCTTCCAGTGCTGCTTCTGCTACAGCAAAATCACCTATTTTGTTGTATGTGTTGGACTCTCTTAGACCGTCCCCTCTTCTGCAATCTGGCCTTCATTTATTTCTCAGGCATCTCTAACCTCCTTATTCCTTCCCTGATACATCTTTTCAGAACTGGTCCTTCCCACATCCCCTTATTTCCATCCACCAGAAACACGCAACCTCCAGGGGATCTCAGAGTGATTTAAGAAACATGTGAGGACAGATACCAGGCTGGTGTGTGGAGTCTTTGAAAAATAGATCAGCTTTATGAC